GTGGTCTGGCCTGCCACCGCTCCCAGGCCCAACGATTGTGCAGCCCCACCTGGTACTTGCTGACTAGACAAGGTGGACTGGGACTTTAGACTGGGACTGCTGACTAGGCGAGGACTAGACTCTACCTTGCTGACTCAGCTGCGGCAACTGACCCTTACAGCTCCGAAGAGCCAAGTAGTAACTTCTCTAGACTGACCCTTCGCTACACTTGGGACTAACCTATAGGACTGACCCTAAGACTACTAACCTGTAGGTCGTCGGCTCAAGTCCACACGACCCAGACTACATACGTAAAACATCTGTACAGGAGTTGAGGGACAGGTTGCGGGTTCAAGGCACACAGGGTCGACGGGTAGCTGTACAGAGGTTCAGGGATAGGTCTAGGGATCGAGCCCTGGGATCTGCAATTGTCCTGCGAACTGGGTGAAAACCCTTTCACTACTCTAATGATCCAAGAATAAAACCAGCAAATGAAAACAACAGTCCACCAAACTATGGTAAATGGGCAGAACCCGATACAAAGCAATTCATGCTTGCTTCTCGCCTAATGCTACACAGGAATGAGAAGGAAATCAGGCACCCACCGACATACAGGAATATGGTTCACAGCGCTCGATGCTTTGCTGTCACCTAAGTGCATACTGTCACAGGGACGTTTTGGACATGATCTGGCCCTTTTCGCAGTCAGATATGTCCAGGAAAGTGCAACAAGTGAGAGCATGTCCTAAGTAAACATCACATAGACATGTGTGACGGGCTCCACCAGAATACTGATGCCCCACAAAACTTGGCTTCAAAAACGATGATGAACAGGTTCCTTAGGCTGGATGCTGCAGCAAAGAATTTGACAGTCTCAAACTCACAATTTCCGAATTGCGCACTTTTCGTTTTGTTGAGAGACATGCAGTTGTGCACAGACTCCAACGTTCAAAGCCCACCACACCATTGCAGGGCAACCCGACCGGTTACAAGGGGGTCACCGCTTTATTTAGCTGCTCCACTCAACTGCAAGTGTCACTCTTTTCTGTCAACTGCACGTGTCAGGCCCAGTTTCAAAGCAAGCCACAAAATGATAGTACTAGCTGTTCAAGTGCATCACCCTCCAAGACAATACACTTGTTGATCCTGTAAGTCCTTGTACAGTTAGAACCAGGTCCCACTGGCACTTATGTTCATGCTACGACAGCATGAACCTGGCTGTGATAGCAGCCAGTTTCATGTTTTCTAAGCACGAACATGACTGTCAGGTCTGCCCCTCGCTACAATTTCTAGATGTTAAGGGTGCCGGTAGTTCTCCGATGAGGGTATAAACAATGTGCAGGGAAACCCGATTACTGACTCGACTTGATTGATCACAATACAGTAAGGGTGTTAATTACTATACTATTAAACCTTGAATAAATAAGGGACCTAACAACACACCTATCATCCAAAGAATGCACATAACTAACAATGCCTGATATCCGAAGAATGGACCTGACAATACCTGCCATCCTGTCTCTGAATTCAAGAAGTCGGAGGACCAGTATAACATCTTTACCCGCCTTTAGCTTCCCCCTCTGAGAGGATGTGATGATGATATGAATACTCTGAATCGCTGTTGATTCAGCCAAACCAATTAGCAACAGCAGTTTAAAATGCGGTTAAAACTTAAAACTGCAGTTCATACTACAGTTCAAACTCAACGTTAAGAAGGTGTCTTAACCTCACAGTTTGCACCCCAATCCAGTTTAAACTCAACCTAAAGAAGGTGTCTCAATCTCTACATTTGCACTGCAGCTCACACTCCAGCTCGCTCCAGTTCACACTCCAGCTCACTCCAGTTCACACTTCAGCTAAAACTACACCTCACACTACAGTTCACGGTGTCTCTAACTCAAAGTTCACACTCCAGCTCACACTTCAGCTAAAACTACACCTCACACTACACTTCACGGTGTCTCTAACTCAAAGTTCGCACTCCAGCTCACTCCAGCTCACACTTCAGCTCACACTACACCTCACACTACACTTCAAGGCGTCTCTTTCTCAAAATCCGCAACCAGCTCACACTCCAGCTCACACTCCAGCTCACACTCCAGCTCACACTCCCCACTCACAATCCAGCTCACACTCCAGCTAAAAGTCAAGTCGGAACACGTTTCAAAGGAGATTGCAAACTCAGAAGTTCAAACTAAGGTCAGGTTCACACGAAGTCTCAAACTCAAGTTCAGAAGTCTCTGCCAACCACAGTCTAAAAACAGAACTAAGAGGTTATCTCAGCACGTGAGTGGTTGTGAGGCCATGGTTTAAGCCTGTGGAGCTTTTATTGACTTCTGGATGAACAAAGGTTCCATGGTTCATTTGAGGTTTCGACAGTCCAGCCACACAAAAGGAGTACAGAAACACCCATCTCTTTCGCTTGGAATCATCATTTTGCTATGCTCATCCTTTATTAACGACTACTTCCAACAAAATTCCATGACCCATATGAAACAGTACAAACAGCACGAGGGGGAAAAAAAGGTACAACCAGCTTTAGAAATGAGACAAGAGGGCCAAGCGGCCTAGCTCAGTTGGTAGAGCACGTGAGTGGCATTCAGGAGGTTGTGGGTTCGATTCCCCACGTCATCCATTGGACTCCCCGCGGCCCCCTGCGGCACACTTCAGGTTCCCCAGCGGAGATAGATGGCTTGCCCCCCCTGGCTGGTGGTGGTAGGTTGCTTGTGGCCTTCCATCCCACGCCAGGGTTTAGGAGCTGGGGTACTGCTCCCTGCACAGAGCAGCGTTGAGGATCAACCCAAAAAAAGGGGGACAGGCCCAGCTTCGTGCAGCAATGTGGATTACTGTATAACTTCTCTTAGGCAAAAAGAGACTGGAGTAGAGGTAGGTAGATAGGTAGGTAGTGGGAGATAAATGAGAGAAGAATATAAGGTAGTTTTCGACCAAAAAAAAAAAAAAAAAAAAAGAGACAAGAGGAACGCCTCACATATAAAATGCTTTGTCTAGAACTTCCTTGATGATGAACTCATCTAAAACTTTTGCATCGATGGTCTTTTATTGATTTGCTGCATCATTTGCACGATACTGATAACGCAGGAATGCTTGTGCACATAGAGATGATAAACGAGTGCCAGATCACATATCTGACGTGTCCATAGAAAAAGAAAGCGCAAAACCCTGTGACTGAAACCCTGTGACTGATCTATGTGTTCGCAGTCCTGCCTCTTGAGGTAATGAAAAGTCCAATTAAACAGAAACAGCCAGTCACAACCCCTGCTTTTTTCTACCATCTTGCCCCCAACACAAGCCACCTTCATTTGACTGTATGTGACTGGCAAGATAGGTTTGAACCCATTCGTAATCAGGGCATGTTTTGTGACTTGTGCGCGGGGGAAGATGGTGGACTCCCCCCCCCCTTTCTGTCATAGGTTCACCATGTAGTTCTTTCCGATGACATGTATGATCATACTATGATGCATACAGAGTAACAATTGCATCATGTTCAGTAAATATGAACATATGATAACTATTTAGCAAGGGCAAAAAACAAACAAAAAGCAAGGGCAGGGCCACCGGGGTATGTCCAGGTTTCCATTGCGAGATCTGACGATCACAATGAGACAGCGGAAATCAACTTAGCATGGCATGCATTGCATTGCAGACCCTAGACAGAGACAAAGCGCAGTAGCCGGGAGTGGAGGGGGTGAGGAGAGAGGATTGAGGTCCCACTAGGTTATGTCTACTGGGGCTTCATTGGAAATCTGAAGATGCAGTTGTAACGAGAGTCAAGCAAGAATCAACCCCTTGTGTGGCACTTGCTGGACCCCACAACCTCACCGTAGCTTAGCTCAGTGTGAGGCCTGCCCTTCGACGTATCGTCTCCATATTTATTGCTATTATCACAGCACACAACATATATTTCTATTCATTTACTACCTTAACACTTGGGGGCCTGCCCTTTACATCCGTGCATATTATCTTATTAACTTATAAAGTCTTATATACATATTGTTTATCGCAGTACATGATCTGATTTATTGATTCTGAAAAGCACTTGCAGCGCATCCCATGGGACTCTGCAACCACACATACATAGGAAAGAAAGGGGGGGTGGAAGAAAAATGCAACCATACAATTGTTTCCCATCTGCACTTCTCAAAAAATGAGAGAAGTGCAGATTGCGCAGGGAGACAAATTATCAAGGGCCAATCAAAGAAGAATGGACAGCCAATCAAAGAAGAATGGACAACCATACCACTGTCCTTGTAGTGCCCATAAAAAGAGGAAGGAGGAAAATAGAATATGGAGCGCACACACAGACACACACACACACACACACACACACACACACACACTGAAAAAAAGAAAAGAAAAGGGGAAAAAAAGATGAAACAGGAAACCACACAAAGACGTCCAGACCCACCTCCTCTGAGCTCAGGAATGATTGCGAGTNTCTCTCTCTCTCTCTCTCTCTCTCTCTCTCTCTCTCTCTCTCTCTCTCTCTCTCTCTCTCTCTCTCTCTCTCTCTCTCTCTCTCTCCTCCTTCCTCCCTCTTCTCCCTTCCTCGTCCCATTGCTTGCCCCCTCTTCACTTCTTTTCATCGTATCAGTTTCCCTTCTACAATCCATGGGGGTTCGTTCAATCTCTCTCCGGAGTTCTACCTCTCCATTTTCCTCCGACCTCCCTCTTCTTCCTCCTCGTATCATGACCTGCCTCCCTCCCTGTCCTCTTTCTTCCTCCTCTGTCCTCCTTCCCTCTCCCCCGTCTTCTTCTGGTTTCTTTTCTTTTCCCTTTCTCACTCCCGTTCATTTTCCTCCTCTTCCCCTTTCTCTTCCCTCTCCTTGCCCCCTCTCCTCCCCCTCCTCTCCTCCTGTCGCTGCCTGCACCTCTCCCTCCTCTACTCCTGTCTCTTATACACATCTAGATGTGTATAAGAGACAGCACACACACTCAAAAAAAGAAAAGAAAAGGGGAAAAAAAGATGAAACAGGAAACCACACAAAGACGTCCAGACCCACCTCCTCTGAGCTCAGGAATGATTGCGAGTCCAATGGAGTTGTGACAGTCACACCCACAGGGTCGGCATGCAGGACAAAGCTCTCAAATGCCATCAGCAACGACGCAGCAAAATCCTGCATCATCGTCTGCATATGGAATTCTAGAAGCTGCCGATTACCCGGCGGAAACATGACAAGATGCTGCCTCTTCTTGTCGTCTTGCGCAACCTTCACATAATCGGATTGACAAACAACAACCATCAAGACAAAGAATCACCCTCAATATCCACGTGTCTTCGTTCCTCCCTTTGTCTCCCACCGACCACCACAATCACGTAACCCCGACTAATAACATGTCTTTCATCTTTCTCCTTTCCCTCATTCCTCCCCCCTCTCTCCGTCTTTCCTTTGACTTTCAATAGATCATCATAACCACTTCATAGACTGCATCCAAGTGTCTTTGCTCACCCCTTCCCCCCCTTTGTCTCCCACCAACCCCCACGATCATATAAGCCTC